TTCCAGCGGGAGACTCTTCCACGCTGCAGCTGTGATCTCAGATGCTATGTACATCTTTGGTGGCACAGTGGACAATAACATTAGAAGTGGAGAAATGTACAGGTTCCAGGTAATTCACTGATAAGCGTACTCAGGCACCCACGCCAATTCTGCGTGAATCCTTCTGGCCGTCTCCGGACGTGGCAGAGCTTCTGGTTTGGCTCGCTGTGAGCTTGGTGGCTTTCCTTTCGCATTCTTCCTGCAGGAAGCCTTTGTGTTTCAGATTCAGCTGCCAAAGATTAATGTATATCTTTAAAATCTTTTGAGATATGTTATCTGGGCAGACATTTTGGTAAGGCCAAGCTCCCCCGTGCCTTCTAAAGTCCTAACAGAGATCATGACAACTTATTTTGACAAATTATTGGAGAGCGTATCAGACAGGATTTGCCAGGATGTCTAACTGAACATTGGCTGTTCCTCTTCACGTTCTGTCAGGTTTAGGGTTCCTGGGTCAGAGCATTTTGTACTGAAGTTTTATCTGCATGCAGCACTCCCACTCCCACCCCACCCCCCCATAACTATGGGAATTTTGAATTTCAAGATACTCACACCAGCTCAAATCCCCCTACACTCACATTTATTTTTGTTGCGTGGGACCCTCAGCAAGTCCTGAGAGCAGGTGAGACTCTGAGCCACCAAATCCTGAAATCTGCAAGTAGTGATGAGAGCCGTTTCTTGCATGTTAAGCTGCGTTATCTTCATTACCCTCACCATAGAGGAAGCCCTTGCATGTGTTGGGTTTGGCTGTGGTTTTTTCTACTTTATATACTACGTTGAGGTCAAGTTAATAAGCAAATCCAGTGATAGTATATGTAACTGCAGGGCTTTTGGCTATAGCGATTTGAAACGAATTCTGTCTTCTGTGGTTTTTTTGTTTGTTTTTTGTTTTTTTTTTTAGTTTTCTTGTTACCCTAAATGCACTCTACATGAAGATTATGGAAGGCTGTGGGAAAACAGGCAGTTCAGTGACTTGGAGTTTGTTTTGGGAGAGGTGAGTCGAATTTATTGAAAAGGTGCCAACGGGGGCGTTACTGCGTGCGTAGCATGTTTGCTGGGAAAAAGCAAATTGTACGATGATTGTGCCAGAAACCCTGGGAATGAAGTTTTAAGAGCAGTGTCACTGGTGGGAATGATGTCTGTCTGGTTTAGTAGGTTCCACTAATCCAGATAAATTTATAAAGCTGCAAAGGAGAAGAAACTTTTAAACGGAGAAGATCTGTGGATCGCTGAGATGTAACCTGAATTTATCGGAGCACCTTATATATAGTTGCAGTATGAAAACGGTACTAACGACCTCTGTACGCCGAGGTCCCAGCTGTCTCCTGGGAAAAGCCGGTCAGTGGTTTGCAGATCCATGTACCGTTTCAAGAGCCATTTTTAAGTACTGAAATAAAATAGAATGAGAAAAAGCAGCACAGGGGAATGATTCTCTAGTAATGAAAACAACTATAAAATTTTAAAAAGAATGTTTTCTGAAAAAAAAATCAGAAATTTGAACTTACCTGCATTCCTTTTGCAAAAAAAAAAAAAAATAGAAAAGACTTTGCAGCAATCAGATAACAGATCCTCAACAACAGATGAGGTAGGTTATGAAGAACAAACATACTATTGTTTTGAAAAGAAAAAATTAAACCGAAAATCAGATGCAACAATAAGAGGCAATATCTGCAACACTGAACCTGCACAACAGCTTCCACTCAGTGAAGGTAACAGAGACTCTTTCCAAATGGTGTTTGCCATTAGCCTTTAGGGAAAATAGGTGTTGAATTTCATGTGGATGTGCAGAGCAGATGCAAGGCGGCCTTTGATTCAAACTTAAACTGAATGTATGGTAACCTGGAGTTCAGGCCAGGTTTCTATGGCTTCTGCCATCTGCCGCCACCATGTGATTTTGGAATAAAAGTTTAACATGTGTTACTCCTTTGCTTTTGACAGAAGGAAGAACGAGTCCGGGGGCACACTGCAATTGTTACAGCTCGCTGCAAGTGGCTCAAAAAGAAAATCATACAGGCAAGGGAGAGGTTGAAACAGGTGAGTATTTTAGAAAAGTACTGTTGTGGCAAGGTAATGCTTATTCTACCCAATTTTGGAAATAAGGTTGTTAGGAAAAAGATGATATCTGCTGAGACAGATGTAGAAGCAGAGCAATACCTGATGCTAAAGTGCTCTTGGGCAAGTAAAATAAAGAGGGTAATTAGTAATAACAGAGGCTACTGGATGTATATCAGGCCAGGCGAGGAGCGTAACATGGAGGAGCCAAAGTTAATCCAGTTATCGGGATTTGGCGGTACGGTTCTTGGGAGCTCTGGTAACTGTCTAAGTTCTAATCTTGTGGAATATCCCTGGGGAGGTGCGTGTACCCCTCCCTCTGGGGAGGGTAAAAGCTGTGTGTCATCGGGGATGGCCTGCAAGATAAGACAGATTAGAGGGAAGGCAGCGTTAAGGTTTTGAGGTTGTTCCCTTTGCCTTACTATGTCCTGATGTTGTTCCAGAGTTGAAGGTCTGGTGCCTATGGTTCATTGTCTATTAATTTTAACTACTTACAGCTTTTCAGCAGCAAACATTTTATGGTTCTTGAGGAATGGGTAGCACACAACCTGCAGTAAGACATATGAATGCCTCATTGCCCCTTAGTTAATTGCTTTGCCACCCCGCAGCCCTCCAGCTCCACTTCATCCCCTGTCAACCTCCACTTGCCGTCTGGTTTCCGGACCGGCCATGCCGGGGAGTTAAAGGGGGAGCGGGTGGGAACTATAACCCCCTGCCCCTGAAGTCCTCCAGCACTGGCGCGATTCCGTCCCCGGCTCCCGTCGGTAGCGGGTGGGGGTTCGCCTTTGTCAGTTTGGAGGGGGGGAGGGCGGGCGCCGTTGGCAACAGCCGCACCCCCGCGCCGGGGGCTTCGGCCAACGCCTGAGGAAAGGCTGTCAAAGTGAACCTTGGAAGTAACGGAGTGTCTTAAAATACTTCTGTGCAGCACTTTGAGCTCTGACTTTGCAAGGCAGGGATCTGTGGGACCTGCTCCTACATCTTCCTTCTCCAAGGAGAGGCGCTGCTCCTGCGGAGGGCAGAAATGTGAGCTCACTGGAATTCATTCCTCCCTTTTACTGAGGTCCTGCTTTTGAGGAGCTCACATTTATTCTGATCCATGTTTGTCACAGGATATGGAACAGTAAGTCTAAGAGTTATGAATTCCTTATTATCTTGAAGATAATCTTGAAGATCGTGAGATCTTGGGTCTTGAAGATTGTGCAGTAAAAGAGAGGATCTTTCCTCTGGTTTGATAGTAATGTGTGTGAGCTGACACAGCCTTGTTGCCATGTTTGAGTGTTTTCTCTGTCTCAGAAATCAAAGCAAGATCTTGAAGACGAGGGACATGTACCGTGTCAGAAGGATGGGATTGGTGGGAATGTCAAGTTGTGCCGCCTGCAGCCGTTGCTGGAAGTGCCCATCCGAGAGGCTGAGGCGCAACCCTTCGAGGTGCTCATGCAGTTTCTGTATACGGATAAAATAAAATACCCTCGCAAAGGTAGGACAGTAGGATGAAAGAAATACTAGCAACTGGGGAGCAAGCATTTATTTTGATACAGAGCAGGACCGAGCATTTGCAGATGATCAATCCTGATCTAAGTGCTTAATTACTTATCTGAGATTAAGAAAAAAAGTACATTTCTATCAAAGCATACTAACAGTGCTTTGTTTTTTCCTAATTCTTTTCAAACTTCAAGGAAAAGCGGGTTCTTGATCTTTCCAAAAGGTATAAAAAAACCCAACCAAACAAGCAAAAATTTCATGGTATTTTGAACATTACAGCAGCCTGCCTGGAAGGACCATGTATCCTGGTGTCCCGATCCAAAGTCAGGGGAGGTTTCGATATGATCCCAAGGACGAGATTAAGACGCAAACGAAGTCAAATGCCGTACAACCTTTTGACTTGATTTTGGTGAACGAAGGGGTGAGAACCGGGTAGAAAGACGGGGGGGGGGAGAAGGAAGAGAGAAAAGGAGAGAAAAAAGAGAGAAAGAAAGAGCGTGCTCAGGCGGGTGAGAAGCGAGCCACGTAGGGGAACGAGCTACCGCCACTCCGAGTCCGGCGTTGTCCCGTCGAGCAAAGGTCCCGTCTCTGCGTCCGCATGAGCGGCTTCCAAGGAGGCGCGCGGGGCAGGGCGAGCGGAGAAAGAGCACCTCAAAAGGCGCACGCGGTCCTTTTACAGGGCCGCGCACATGCGCAGAATGGGTCTGCGTGCACGCAGGTTGCGCTTCTGCTTTTCGCGCCCTGGTGTCTGCGCAGGCGCGCGTGCAGGCCATGGCCCCGCCCTTCGCGCCCTGCCCTCTGCATGCGCGTCCTGTGGCGGTTCGGTCGGGGGCTGGATGTCGAAACCAAAAGATGGCGG